GGTATCCGACGTTCACTTCGTGGCAAACTTAATATACCCGGTGGAAGGATTAAAAATTAAAAAAATTGTGCTTCGACTATTAAATTATTTCGCGTTTACAAACTTCCTGCTTTACCATTTTGGTTATTTTTTGAAAATAAAAATTTATTTGAAATAAAATGTTAACATATTTTAACACTATTTGTCTTATTTACATTTAATTACTATAAGATATTTCCTTTTTGTCCCCTTTCATTCTAGCTTTTGATTTAAAAAATATTTGGTTTTTTATTTATTACTCCAATTTTTTAAATAAAAAATAATTTTATCAATTTTTAATTCTGATTTTAGAATTAAAAAATAAGTTTCCAAATTTTAATTTCGAATTGGAATTAAAAATGATTTAACTAGAAAATTTTCCAACCTGAGTCAAATTAGGAATTTCTTGCTCGCTATTAAACTAATATTAATTATAAACCTCAGCAAAATAATAAACTTAAAGTATTATTTGTTTTTTCATTACAAGAATTTAAAAACAAAATCCCAAAAACATGAAATAATAACCGAAAAATGTTTATAGTAGATCTATATAGACCAGCGTCGATAACTTTTGAAAACAAAAAACATAGTAGGGTGAAACCGATTGGAAATGGAAGATAAAAAAACGAAAATGAAAAATTATTTACGGGCGATCTGATGTCGGGAAAAGAAAGGCGAGGGGGTAGTTGAATTTTTACGGGTTAAAAACGGTTTATCTTCTGTGGAAAAAAGTTAAATGCCAAAGTTGTAGGTAGTAAAAAGATCAACAACTCTTGTATTTACGTCTTTTTCACATAACCTCAAAATGTATGTGAAAAATTTAAATAACCTAATTTTCGGGCTTGTTATAAATTTCTTTTGAAACAATTTTATTTTCTTTATGGGATGAACTAACCTTTTTTTGCCCAAACACATTGTAATTTTTTTGATTTAAAATATTAATTTTTTCACTTTATCGGAAAATAACCGCAATTTTTAATAGAAAATTTTCCCGTCACGGCTGGCCTCTGTGCAAATGCACATTAGAATTTCATATTAGGATTATAAAGTTTTTAAGACTTTAATTACAAAATTAAAAAAAAAGTTGTAAAATATTTGCAAATTAACGAAAAAAATATATAGCGCGACATCAGAATTTAATATTCTTACCACAAAAACAAAAATAGTTGTAACATAAATACATATGTATATTGCATGTAAGCATTTATTTATTTCTAATAATCCAGTTATCATTACTTAGCGCTTTGATTGCTTATTTTTATAAGTACATACTCATTTACAATAATGAACATTTTATCTTTGCATATTTTTTTTGCTATGGCGTCAGGTCATACTAACATCAGCGTATATACTAATTTACTAAAAATGCGCAAACAGCTTTATATCCGAAAAAATTAAGTCTCGCTTAAACTAAACTTACAAACAACAATAAATTAGCGTACAAAATATATTTCTCACATTTGCAATTAAGCTTGGTGCGTGCGTAAGTATTAGAGAATGTATATGTACATATATATATATGTCTATATGTGTGACTCACATACACCTTGTATACAATTATCAACAAATCTACGCCTTTTGTGCTTAAATTACTAAAAAAACAAAAAGCCAATACTATGAATTTAAGTTAACGACCCTTGAGGTCAAAATGTCATACAATGAACAATGTGTTATGTATACATACATATGTATGTGTATATAAGCACATGCGTATACAGACTTCATGGAAGGCATGTATATGCCCATGTGCTTACTGCTTCAATCTCCAAGCGATAATTTTTTAGATATACTAATTGTTAGACAAGAATTTTAATTATCATGTTTTTTTAAATTTTTTTTAATGTTATTTTAACCTTTTTCTTACAAGCTAATAACGCATTGGTGCTATTATGACAGGCAGGTTTAAAACATGCCATCCGCGCGTCCCACCGGTATTAATATAATCAAAAATATCACGAAATTGCGCATGACCAACTTCCAGTCATTGGGCACTGCATAAGGCAGCAGCGTTTGCGTAATGCGATGCACTTCGTGCGATGCGCACACGAATATGAACGACGTAACGATCATGTTGAGAGTGGGAAAGCCAGGTAGTAGCACTAGCACGCCATGTCTATCAGCAGCTAGCCAAATGTGGTACTGACAAATGAACAACTCCAGCGATATGCGACCGAACCACGCGAAAAAAGTGGAGAAGCGCGTACGTAATATGCCCGATATATTGCGTAGCACAATGTACCCCACGATCGGTATGAAGACAATGTACGAGTGTATCTCTTCGCAATCCTGTTCATTGCGGCAAAGAAAAGAAAATGTCGTGTACAAACCGACACCAAGCAGAGCAAGCAACGTAATGGTGATGGATGTGCGTCGTGCAAAGAGATTGCCGTGATTGTTGTCATCGAAAATGCTATATTTTTGTGCGATGTGAAAGCAAGCGGCCGTAATCATGCCAAAAGTTACAGTGTAACGATCCAATTTCCACTGATACCACCATTCGTGTATATCATCGTCGGTACTCACAAATAATGCTTTCCATGGCCGTGTAAGGAAAATGCGTTCGAAGAAAACTTCCGACATGAAGAGTATCGTAATGACGCTGAAACAGCCTATGAATTTGGCAACCAGGTACAAATAATGCAACGGATATGAATCCACTGATTGCGCGCTAATGCGTGGCGGCAGTGATAATACGAAGTATATGACAAACATCCAAAATGTAAGTAACGGCACAAAATAGTAAAATTGATAGGGACGATTCATGCAGAAACACAGAACAACTGTGACGAAATTCAGGCGAAACATGACTTGAAAGAAACGCACAAAAGCTGAATTGCCACCGGTTTGCCACATATAGCTAAAATGTGAATAGCCCGTGATGAATAGATAGCTGCTGATAAGTAGTTTAATATGCATGTGTATGGGTAGGACACGATGTGCGCCAGTCATATAATAGATGAGTACAACAAGCATAATCCAACCTTTCAATTCATCAGTTTGATCGCGATTCAGCACTTTTGTAAACCGTGATTCCTCGGTAAAAAATATGCCCAAAGCAAATACATAACCTACAGGTATCCAGAAACTAAACTCCGAATAGTATTTATTTTCCTTCATGAAAAAATTGGTGCGATCGCATAGATAGAAGTAGGCCATAATAATACCGAGCATTGCTAGTGGTGTAAAAAAATCCGTTATGGACAGTGCAAATGACGTTGAACCGTTTGACAACGAACCCGTCACAGAGGCGCTGCTAGAGTGTAGGTCCTGATAGGTTGGTATTTGTGTTAGCGGAGTATAAAACGTATGGCCACGCAAATGTAGCAACCAACGACGCAGTAACATTACGAGAACCAAAGTAATACTAAAAGTATTTATAGAATTGTATATCAAGTATAAATTAGAAATTCATTTTTTACCTACCACACACCAAAGATAGCGTAGGAAACAATTTGCAGAGTGGTAAAGGGTTCTGCGCTAGCGCAACATGTACCATCATTGTAATTCATATAGTCGTTGCAGTACATATTGATCAAAATTTGCACCTCGTGGCGCAACCCTAAATCACTCACTCTGAAACCATTAACAGCACTGTCGACCAGCCCGTTTGCTATTTGCCATGCTGCCTTCCACACCACTGCGTCCGAATAACGGAAAACAGATAAGGCAGCTTGGTTTAACCGATCAATATCGTCGTTCAGTACTGACTTCCAAGACGTTTGCGCCACCTTCTCCTCGTTAATGCGGTCTTGTAGTTTCCATAATACTTTTGTCTTTTGCGCTACTAACTGGTCGAATGGCACAACCAGCCGCGTTATGTTGTCCGTAAACTGTTTTATAAGTTCATCTGTTACATTGCTAGCAAGAAAGTTGCGATATGTAAAACCCAATATGAGGATCACTGGCAATTCTTTGACATCTTCTAGTTTGGTTAAGGTGTCTAGCAACGCCAAGTTCACTTGGCTAGCATATATATAACGTGCGCGCATATTAAGCTGTCGTTCTTCAAAACTGTCATCTTTTGGCACAGCCAAAATAGTTGTAGAGATATTGTCATCGTCACTAGGGTGTAAATGGTTTATAAAGCTTTGATAAAGCTCTCGCACACTCTCATCACCAATGAATACGAAATTGTTGCGATAACCCCAAAAGGCTAAATAACGGAGACATCGGCGCGTATCTCTTTATATATGAAGAAATAAAAAGAAAACTTTCGATTTTAAGTAATTAAGTTAAAGGGTACTGTCTTTTGTCGCGTAATTTTTGTTATTAATGATGAATGGCTCTAAAGTGGGGGTATATATGTATATGTATATATACACAGTGTACTTACGTTTCAGTATATTTATGCATCATACAACCATAAGGTTGCCATTCATTATCACCCTTGAAACGGCCTTTAGATAACAGCCATTGACACGAATCGCTCCCTAATATTTATAAGGTTGGAGATATAAATAAACATATAAACATTTAATGTGTCATAAGCTAAAAAAAGACTCAAACGCTTACCATATTGCCAATTTAAAATACCATGGTATGCTACGAACCCAAGAACCAATAAGAGTGCCACTTTTTTAGCATTATTCGCATTCAATTGTTGAATGAGATGTTCTGCTTTAGTAGGCCGCGGCAATACGGAGGCATCACAGTTTAATGGATTCAATTCTAAAACTTCACTCATTTCTCCAATTTTTCAACACTTTACTTTTCACTTAAATTAAATTTCAAACCAAAAATGTACATTTTTTGCTTGTGGAAAATGATTCTCAATTTTTCCCATATAAATTTCCTATCCTAACTATGCAAATGCAATGAAATATAAATGAATGCGGAAGGAAAATTCTTTTTGCATTATTTGTTTACACACCTTCCGGGGAATAAACAGCTGATAACCAGTGACGACAAATTCTATAAGTGAAGTGTTCAAAAAATTCTAACTAAACACTAATTGGAATTACAATTTTTTTATAAATATCTTTCTATACATATACATATCTATTAATTTATTTCACATTTATTGTTTACCAAATTTGAATTTGGTTATATGATATTAAATTTTAGTTGTAGCAGAGAATGTAGATTATATATTTACATTCTCTGGTTGTAGCATCGAAAAAGGCAGCATTTGTGAGTGGTAAAATTTGGTAACACTATTCAATCTATCAAATTTTGTATATTTTACATTCTCTGCTTTTGGGTTTCTGTAATTTTGAAGTAAACAGATTTTGCACGTATAGGAAAAATATCTTATATGATATTTTAAATTAAATAATATACAAATGCGTGATTTGCACAAAGCCTTGGCATTGTTTGACAAAGAATCAGCGATGGATTATTGCGAGGAATTCGACGAAACGAAATCGGTATTACTTTACTGCAACAAACATGTGAAACCATTCTCTAAAGTATATTTCCGTGGCGGTAAGTTATAACTAACTAATAATTTGAAATATTTTAAAAGAACCAAAACACTATTGATAGGCAATGAATTAATTATCAACGAATTAGTCCGTCGTCTTCAGCAAACATTACTTGATCGGCAATTAATTGATTCGGAGAATAAAAAACCATTGGCGAAGGCCCATCAAAAACTTCGCAAAATTTTGATATTCTTATTTGCTAATACCGACGCTACTTACAAATATAATTTACACAGTGACCCCACATTTGCACATGTATTGGAGCAGTGTCCTTTGCTACCTAAATTCCTGTTAGTAACACTCGTGTGGGAGTTGGAACTAGATCAGTTTTTCTACGAGGCACTCTCATATACTCCTTGTTGGTTTGCTTTCCAGTATTTTGAGACCGCTGCAGATACAATGAAATTTATTGAAGATCCATATGACGTTTTGGAAAAAGTAGAGCAGCTAATGCGTTCCTTACTCATTTGCATATCACGTTCCGAATATCGCAAGATTGATATGGTAGATAAAAAAATAATTTACAACAAATTGTATGATTACAGCATGAATTTACTCCGACAATTCTATACACCTGATTCTGAAAAATTTAAGCAATTCAGTAAATTGGAATTTTTCCGATACTCTGGTTTTGCCTTAAAACACCTCCTTCAAATGACATTGTTTGCATTTGATTTATTTGAATTGCCAGAGAAAGCAAAGCCAAATATAAATGTAGATATTTATGAAATTGGTCGAGAAATATGTCCGCCTGTGCCAGATGAAGAAGCAGCAAAGTCCTCGGATGCGCTTAAAGAGCAGCAATTAAAGATAATAAAAGCTCTCCTCAACTCATTACAATATAATGTTATGTTGGTTAAAATAGATGTATTCATGTATTGGGTTGAAGTAGATATTACTCCTACAACAACATTACAATTATCAATTGGTGAAATGATTTATGAAGTTGGTGAACGTATGCGCGCAAATCCTAAATTTGGACACGATGTCGAGGGGCAACTAAAACTACTGGCTATTAAACCGAGAACACTCAGTGAGACAATTGAAAGCGCAACGTTAGGAGAAATTTTACGTAACTTAGATGAAAACTCGCCGCAACATGTTAAAAAAGCATGGTTCGATGAAATTTTTAGCCGGTCCATTGCTCTCGGCAATGAAGAATGCCTGGAAGCCATTAAAGAATATATAAAGTTGCTGACGCCAAATAATTGTCAATTGGCCTTGGATTTTATCAAGCAATCAGCACAGCTTTCACAATTACAAGCTAGCGACAATGAAGGTGAAGAAGGTGGCGGGGAAGGCGAAAAGAGCGAGAAGATGCAAATAGATCCTAATGATTTTGAATCTTTGACATCGTTAATACTTTTGGGTATAAAGAATTTTAAATCTGAAGATATATTACAATTGTTGGCCTATCAAACGAAAACATTCGGCAAAAACACTAATATTTGTTGTCAGGATGACTACCAACGACGCGTAACTGAGTTTCTCAACAAATACGTCAGCTCATTTGATTTCCAGCAATTTCTGGTGCTCTGTTTCGAGAACCCGTCTCAGATGTGGGACAAATTCTTTGAGTGTGCTTGCCACAATTCGGAACATGTGCGCAACTTTTGCAAAACAGTACAACAATCTCGACCATTTTGTAATATATATTTTGACGAATTGCTCGAAAATGCGATGCATGATTCTGACAAGCTAAAACAAAAAAAGTTTCCTGAGCTATTGTGTGAAATATATTTCGTTTTGTACCATCCTTCGCGAAAAACAGAATTTTTGAAACAATTTATGAATAAAAACGTTAATGCTTTGTTAGATGCTCAACGATTTGGACATTTGCTGCCAGTTGTGAATGCGTTGAATTTAATTGCAGCGCACGGAGAAACACAGTCGAATAAACCGCTAGCATTTGGTGAAGTTACTGCACCAGTGTTACTGATGGCCGCACAAATTATGGATAAGGCTCGTTGGGATCTTATCACTTATACGGATGAACGGGATGAATTGGTGCGTGAATGCATACAGTTTATACAGTACACGTCCAAAAGGTTTCTGCCCGTGGCTACCGAAAAAGGTTAGTACTGCAAAACCAATATAAATATTAGGGGGGCAGTAGGGTTGATTCGTGTAATATAAGCCCCATTTTTATGATTATTTTTTATAAAACATAAAATCTGCTTTGAAACCCAATGATACATTATAGTGTGACATTTGAAGAATATTCTGTTAAATTTTCATGGAGGATATATTCGTTTTATATAGGTAACGCTGAGGTGAGTTTTTCGAAATTTCTATCTTTAACTTTTTGGAGTTAATTTACCTTTTGGTTAAAAGGAAAAAACGCTATTTTTTGCAAAAAAAAAATCAACTAATTTGTTATTGTGAATTGAGATATCAAAAAATTTGAAAAACTTAAGTGTTACTTCGTAAATTATGTACAAAAATAGCGTTAAAAATGTCAACAGTGCAGTATTAAAACTACTATCATGAAATGCACCGACTTTGAAAAACGCTTTAGAGTTTTGAAATATAATGTAAGGCAGGTATAAAAATACTCGGAAAATTCTTGTTTAATTGGAAAGAAAGGTATAACCCTACTTAAGCCTATACATCTTTCTTTTAACTATGAATTCTATATTTTTGTCATTATAGACCGAAAATGGATTACCAAAGTCATTAAAGATTCTTATCGACCTATAACTCAATATTACTTCCAAAAATTCTCACAGACACCAGAACAACCGGCGGTAGACTTCGATCGTTTTCTCATACGTTTGGAAATTGAAGACAAATCAGAGGCTGAAATGTTCCTTATTATTGTAATCATATATTACTTGCGTGGTTAATTTTTGAAACTAATTATATTTTTTTTTGCTTGTCCCAGAATTACGTACGTTGCACCATGAAAGAGACGGAATGGCTGGCCCGTAGTGAACGTCTCTTGCCTCACATCTCCGATGTGATGATCATTTTAAGTGGCGTTGTTGTAGAAACAGATAATCCGAATGCAATTAATAATTATCGTCACTGCCTAACCAATTACGCAAATATTGTAATAAAATTTGTATTGTCACCATTAAAAAATGATACGAAAAAAATTGAAAAATTAATGCTCAAGGTGTTGAAAATTATCGATTCAGCACCAGCACAGTTATATGAAGAAGTCTTTATAAGTTTTACTGCTTTACTTCTTGATATCATGCGATATTGTGCGCAACCATTGAAGGATGAGGACAACATAGTGAAATCTGTGCGCAAATTCATCGATAACATGAAAGACTGTCAAGGGAAAGAAATGTTCTTGGAAAAATTTCAAGCGTTAGTAACTGAACTATTAACCTAATTCGACTACCTTTACTATTTGAAAAAAGTAAAATGAATTACTTTAATTATTAAATTTGGGCATCCTATGAATTAAATTTTAATTTATTCCTGAAACAAATTAAAAATTTTGTTATTAAAATTTGTTTATTTAAAATATTTAGTTTCGTATGCAACTTACTGAAAGAATAGAATTTTAAGCTGTACAACTTTGAAGAAAATATAAAATTATATATTATTATATACATATATGTACATACATGAAAAATTAATTAAGCTAATAAAGCAGCTTATGAACAAAAATTTATTTAATATGAAACATTTATTTTATTTAAGATTACCTTATGTAAGTAATTTCAAATATAAATATTAGATAAAATATAGTTAAAATAGTCTAAAACATATTTTATTTAAACTCATTTAAATTTCTATCGTTTACATTAATTGGGACGGTGCATTGTCTCGATGGGATGACTGTATATATGGTCCCGGAATAAAATGATGAGGGCATATTACATCTAGTCATATATTAATGCAATAATGCGGGTTTACAACAACAGAACAGCAACAAACACTGCTCAGAATCATCGATTCGTTGTTGTTTTTGGTCAATCGTCAGCATGAAGGACGATGGACCCAGAGAATATTTAAAAGGTCTGCCTCTTTCGAACTCCTCTGCTTACCGCTGTGCTCATATGGTTTGAAAGGAATGTAGAAAACTTCGTTTCGCCTGGGACAAAGCTCATATGGTTTCGGCTTTGGTGTCGGCATTTGGTATCGGCATTTCATTTTACTGTCATTATGACTAGTTGGGATACCTCGTCGATATTCAGATTATAATTTTATTTTCAAAATATAAATTGTTTACAGTTCTTGTGGTATTTTTTTATAAAAACCATGCCCACCATGCGTATGATTGGTACTTTGAGAGTTATATTTGAACCAATAACCGCCGGAAATTAATTATTTCGTAGTGGTAAAAAATTCGATTTTTTTACTAAAAGTTAAAAAACTTACACCACCAGTTATTTTGGCTAATAAATAATAACATATCAAGTTATTAATTTATGTATATTTTCTAAGATGCCTCTTACAAATTTAGAGATAAATTAATTAAAAACCCGGTGTATCCTATTTCCTTGAATATTTAGGATAAATAATGAGTTAAGCGAAACTTTTAATATAAAAATATGCTAGTTTTCACTGTTTCTAGAGTAAATGGATATATTTTTAGAAAAACAAACGTTGAAGAGGAAATTCTTCGTGATTATGAATATATATTTCTATACGATAATCTGTATTATTTTATTTAGCCCATGCAACCCTGTAACGTTGTTAAGTGGACACGCTCAAGACGAAAAACATTTCCGGCGAATTCTTGTCAGAATACGGCGAATAATTCAAAATGACGCATGCGTTGCAAAATTTTTACTTGCCAAAAAATTGATGAGCGAATCAGAGGTGCAGCAAACGAGTAAAAAGCGAACTAACAGAATTGTGGAAATAAGTGTCTAAATGTTGGTCAATTTATTTTAAATTTAAAATATTTTTCTCGTGGAGTAAAAGGTAAATTTGTTTCTGTCGGCAATATTATTAAAAGATAACCTACGTGAACAACTAAGAACTGTAAAACACACAAGTGGAAGAAGAACGACCAGAAAGTAGCAAAAGAAAAGCGCAGTAGCAGCGTTATTGGCAGGGATCGAATCGCATTAGTTGCCTGTAAAGAAAAAAACGGCGAAACATTAGTAATCAAACTTGGATGTGTATAGTGAGGAAAGAAAATAAAATTTGAAATAAATAAAAGTATACCCACATACTTTATTGGATTATTTGAGACATAGTTAATATAAAAGCACCAAAACGGCAGCGACTACAACAACTACTACGCCACCAGCTTCGACAATGGAGAAGCCGAAGGAATTGATCATTGAGCCAAAAGGCGAACTGCGCTTTGTAGGTAAGTGTGTGAACCCATTAGGAAAAAAATTACAATTAAGACATAAGGCAAAAGTATGGGGAATGGGAGCCGACACTTTCGTCGTAACATTTAGAGACGTCTGTCAGATAGCAATACGAAAAGCAACGTCAGCGGCGACGCTGACCACAAGTCATAGAGCACTTAATAAATGAAAAATAAATGTTTATTTTTCATGGTAGGCACACTTCTAATTGTTGTATTTATATATAAAAGCATAAACAATTTTATAGACTATAATTCTAACTTAACTGTATATTGCGCACTTTCAAATCAAAGTCTAACTTAAAGGTTACTAATTTCTATTGAATCAAAGTCAACATTCTTAGTTTACATTGTGTGCCTATATTCAATTAGTTTGTGAAAATTGCCAGTAATTATTTCATTTGAAATGAGGTACGGGCCGAACCTCGCTGTGTTAGATGTTTTTGCACTTACCTTTAGCTAATTAATTTATCAAGAATTCTGTTTTATATTTTCTCTACGACATTTGGACTGAACTTGGATGGATTAACATATGGATTTTGTACTCTGCAACTAAAAAATATTCGATAGTCATCTATTTTCCAAAACAAATGTTAAAACGCTTAAAATTACAAAATCTATTATCGTTCTCATAAATTGCTCGGACTCCTTGAATACCTTATCGTTACTTTGCTAAATCGCATGATCCACGCATGAGTTTAAAAATATACATAGTTTGCTTGGTAAATGTGTGATAATATTTAAGGTCTTGCATAAATTTTTCTGTATGTAAGCAAAAATTTGAAAACAAACATGGAGCCATTTCTTAGTAGTTATACAAACTTTATAGTTTAGCTTTGCGCTTTCTGAGTTCTATTTTGCATCCAGAAGCTTTTAAAATTGGACATCTTGTAATGAGCCCTAAATGAATGATATTTTAAGCGACACCTAAATTCACTGAACTACATGATTTGTTTTTAGAGGTATTTCCAAGAATATATTGATATACCTATTGTTACATATTTAAAATTGTCATCTCACTCTATAAAAGTGAATATGTGTTTATTGCTTTCGTACTGCGGGCGATTTGCCGGTTTTGATAATAATTTTAATATTAACCGCCGGTATCAGTCAACAATTAACATGTATGTGTATGTGGTTGTAATGCAGATGTAAGTAAATAAAAACCATTAAAGCATTTTGGCATTTATTGTATGAAACACGTCCCAAAAACATAATTTAGCTGAATTGTATTTATTTTTTATTCTAACTTGCATATATATATGTATACGTAGGTTCATATTAATATTTCGAAACAACAGAAAATGTCTCTAACTACAGATTTATTTATATGAAGCATTTGTTGTTGGTTTGTATTGTCGGAATTGTTTATATGTATTTTTTGAAATGTAGCCAAAAAATTAAGATTTGTATATATTTTATGTACCTATTATATATGTATATGTATACATATGCAATATATGTACCAAATACAGTTCAATGGTTCCGAAAAGTCTATATGCTTAAAAAAAAAGTTTTTTTTTTCAAGATAAGATATGTACCATATAAGCAATATGATGGTCCGGGAAAGTAATCTATGTACATATGTATAATGTCTATAATAAAAAACGAAATTATATATAAATTCGTACTGAATAATTTGCGTACGCGTAATAATTTTTTGTATACAATGCCGGAAATTGCACTTTAAAATAAAGACTAATTTTAACGGTATTTGTTAAATAAAGAATATTTCTGCTTTTGGAATAAAATAGCGCAATCATGCATCACTTAATACAGTGCAAAGAAAAAATAATGCTAAAATATTTCGTATTTGTTGCTATGTATTAGTTGATACTGATTTAAATTTTTTTTATTTGTTAATAAAATTTGGTTTTGGCATCTTAGTATTATCTTTTAACCAAAAGCTGTTTATATTTTGTAATTTTTGGCAGTAAAAATGAGACATACTGATGTACAGTTACATAAATATACATACATACAAAAATGCACCACAAAAGCAATTAGAAAAAAATAACATTTCAAACATTTGCAAAATTTCTTCATAATTCTTATTAAATCAATCATGCTCGTCTATACTACAATTATGTACATATGTCTATTTAATTTAGACGACCACAATTTGGGAAAAATCGATTTTTAATTTGTTTGTTGAAAACAATAAATTAGGGTGAGGGTGTCAGGCGAACAAAAAGCAATTCTGTAAACTTTGACTGCCTAAACAACGAACTAAGCGCCACACATCACTAAACTAGTTGGTGGATGAGTATTGCCGTATGTAGCAAGAATGGCGACGAAGCATGGAAATTTGTTAAATAATAAAGCACAACGACACCGCATGGCGTTATAAAAAACATTAGTCAAACGTCTCAAACGCATTCTGACAAAATGACGCAATGGAAGCGGTGTGAGCGTGTTCCTCAAATGTTCAGCTGTTGGCAATAAACTGCACACAATTGTACATTTTCATGCATGCATACATACGTAAATACAAGGACAGTGCGGATTTACCGAATGTTTGGGGCTAAGGACCGACCGCATTAGTACATATATATTTTTCTATTGAAATAGAGAAAAAATAAATCATATTTAAATGTACTATGTGATTTAAGATATACATATACATCATCACCCTACTAAAACCATACATGTGCTATTTACTTTCCCCTTTTCCTACAATATTTAGCATAAAAGCATATTTTACTAAGACTATGGGCTTTTACTATGGCAGGTTTCAAATTACCGGCTAGAAATTTAAAAGGCGACAAAAGTAACGAATTCGTGTAAAGTCGACACTAACGTTTGTACGAAGCAGGTCTTGTATTAATACATATATAGAAATATGCATATTGCTACTTTCATTCTTACAAAACGCCAAAGACGAACTAAGTTTTCCTTTGCGTACCTTTCATACATATTATATATATGTATGTATCTACCGCAAAGTAACTCACCCTTAGTTATAATCTAACCACTGTCGCCCACTACACAATTGTATTTTGCTTATTGTTGCTAGTTGCTACTCGAACAGAGGACAACCGCGTGAGGACGAGTGCAAAGCCAATCGAAACATATCGCTACTTGTACACCTTGAACGAAATATAAACCTATAGGTAAAAAAATGCGCAAAGAACAATAACCAAAGAAAGCCAATGTTTATTTTTCTATTTCATTTCATTGTGTACGCCATCTCATGTCTTTTGTTGGAACTTGTTTTATGGTAGCCGCTTTGAGCTTAAGTGGTTCAGCAGATATGTGAATTGACTTACTTATTCTATATTGTCTTATTTCTATTCAAATCCAGGTTTCATTACACTACAACATCCTTTCTTATGCCCTGCCGATAAAACTATAAGTGAAATTGTAGCTTTCTAAAAATGCGCTTTTAACCCCCTAACGGGGTTACCGTTTCATATTTGTTTTAGTAATTTGTACGTGAGCATCATGCAGTGACAAACATATGTATTTCAAATTCATATTTTGATAACTAACAAAAATTTCGACAAAATATTTCTACAGAATATCCCAACAATTATTTTGTGATGTTGAAAATGTTAAAATTAAGGTTTGCCAAGTCCAACTATATATTACGTGCACTCTTCTTCAAACGTTCATCGTAAAACTTAGAACTACACTTTCTCCTCTACCTTATGTTTTGTGTGCACTTCCTAAACATCTGCAAACATGTTTTTGTCGTCATATATTCAATATTGGGGTAATACTTGACCAAGCAGTTAATGCTTTGCAATTTGCCAGTGAGCTGAATAGCCCTGCAACTGACGTTTATTAATTGCAATCTTGAGGTAAAATGATTTCCCAGTCAGAATGTAAACAATGTGTGCAACTTGTGTTGCAAGTTTATTATTTAATAAACTATTGCTTTAAACTATAAATTATAAACCGAGATTACTGATTTTAAAAAGTAGATTTTGTTTTCACACCCACTGCAACGAATAAATAGTATACTCTTTCGAATGTACACGTATATTAATTTAACCCTAAAAGCCACATATTTACATACATATACACGTATGTTGTGAAGACCATTTGATAAGTTTAAAATAATTACTTTTAACATTCGTGTAACTACTATGTGAAAGTGTGTGTGTCGAAACCTTGGCACACTACATATTTATGCACCCGAATACATACATATATACTGTGCAATCGTTGCCATACAAATTGCCACAGCTGGTAATTACTACCATTTTATTTTTCGTTTTTGGCTCTGGTATTTTTTCCATAATCTATCAAAAATCTAAATTGCAGGTTAATAATAGTCCCCGTGCGTTTTATTGCCACTTGGTAGGTGTTTAAATTCATTGCAAGTGTATGCAGTAATGAATTAGTAAATTTTACTAATATTAACAATTGCGAGCTATGTATAGTTTTGTTCTTTTAAAGTTAGATATATTAGTGTATTTGATAATTATTACAACAAACTCTGTTCCGCGCATAAAAATCTGTCAAAATTGTGGAAACCTGAAGAGAAAATGAGAGTTGATCATCACGTTGATCAGAAATTTGTCAAGCAAAAAAAATTGATGAAGCAACCAAAATGTCAGCAGGAGTAAATAAATACACAAGAGTTTTCTGTTGGAGGGTAAATTTTACAAATGATTTTCTTTGTTATAGATATATATAATTTAAGTTGTTACTTTTTTTTTAAATTAATAATATTTAATTCTTTCTTTAGCAATTATACTTATGTGACTGCAACAAGATACGTATTTTTCAAAATACTTTATAATAATTTTTGTATTTACAGGTCCCTTCACTCGTCCCGTTATCACTGTTATGAAAATAACCAATCCAACAGATAATATTATACTGTTCAAGATAAAAACGACCGCTCCAAAACGATATTGTGTGCGTCCAAATTTCGGTTCACTCGAACCACATACGCATGCCAGGATTGAAAGTTAGTTACCGAAATACAGAAATATACAATTATTTTTAAATCTCATATTTTCCTAAAATTTTCAGTTTGTTTACAACCTTTTGTGTATGATCCCAACGACAAAAATAAGCATAAGTTCATGGTACAGAGCCTGGTTGTGCTCGATCACCCTGTTGAAGACTGGAACAAGTTGGTGAGTAAATGAAGCGAAATTAATTTAACAAACAGCATGCAACTTAGTCATTTAGACATGTTTGCGACAATTTTTACACGCTCATTATTATTTTTTATATTTTGCTTTAGTGGAAAGAGTCAGAACCACATCAGTTGATGGATGTGAAATTGAGATGTGTCTTCGAGATGCCAACTGTAACGTCAGCCGCAGACAGCAGTGGTGCTTCAGGTAGCATGCAATTAACTCATTTACTCTCACGCATTTTATTCAATCAATGTTCGCTTTATTACTTTTAATTAGGCGCCAATGAAATTGTAAAGGAAGAATCAGTAAAAATGATTGAGTCAGAAAATAAAGCAATTCCATTTCGCGAAGAGAAAGTAAGTTGTAACTAGCTAAATATGACGGTTACAAATGTTTTTAATTTGATTTTAATGCTTAAAGGTATCAAATGTGCAACCATCGGATCAACGTGAAGAGCTATTGTCCGACATTAGGCGGCTGCGTGAAGACAATGAGAAATTGCAAAGAGAGAAGCGTCATCTTACGGTAATTTTTGTATAATATTTCTACTTTTTCACACAGTTAACCGCATAACTTATACAGTTTATGCGAAAATAGCTGCCACAAAAGTTGAATTTTTCCAATGTCATATAACTTCGAAGCTTTAATAAATATTAAATTTTTTTTTTAGGATGAAATCGTCAAAGTACGGGATTCATATTCGAAACCGATGTACGATCAGGCCTATACACCTATTCTGGGCGAGAAACAAATTCCGGTGTTCTATATAGCGTTGTCGATTGTTGCGGCCATATTTGGCTTTCTGTTTGGCAAATATTTTTGAATGCATACCACGCATACAAAACTCTGAAGTGCTGACATGTTGATCAATAAAAATAACAACAACATAAAATGAAAAACGGCGTCATACACAAACAGATAAACGAAGAAAACGAAACTAAAAAGAAACTTATATATAAAACCAAGCAACAGTAAAGAAGCAAAAATAAAAAACAACAAAACTTAGAAAGGAGGAAATGATCAAATGATTAAAGATAAACATAATGAAAAAAACAAAAACAAGAAAAAAATCCAGCTAAAAAATTAATGAAAATTGTTGAAAGTTTGTTTTGAAATGCATGTAACCATACACATAAATGGGCATAAGCAAACAAATGTACGAAAAAAAAACTTGAGAAAAACATCAGTTAAACTAAGAAACACTATGATTTGCAATTAAAGAAACAAAACAAACGCGCTAAATAACAACAACAGTCAAAGTATCACATTTATAATGAAATAGCAAGCAAACATGTATAAAGCTCGGTGTAAGGTAGGCAAACGAACGTTGACTGAACATATGGAGTAAGGACGGCAATTCAAAATCTATAAATTGTGTGTGTTTTTGTGTAAACGCTTGCAGAATACACTTTTTGCATAGCCAAAGGGCACCGATTGAACGTTGGCACGGCATTTATTCATAACTTTATATTATATAGCAACAAGTGAAAAAAAGAAATGAATAATTAAATATTTAAAATATGCACTATATAAAGCGTTAGGTTTAATATTTTATTGTATGTTTTTGGATCATGCTTGTATAAATATAGTAGCAACAAAACGCTGTAGCAGGGTCTTTACCATTGAGACCGTTAACTGAATAGAATAAAGAAGTACTAATTAATTTGCCTTTGCAGATACGAAAACTTTTTCGCATATGAATATATTATTAGTATACGTAGCTCTAACAATGAATCACTTAATTTGTGGCATTGAGCAGTTTTTGTTGTCTTTTATTATTATTATTTTTCTTTTTAAACATTTCCTAAGTTAATATGCATGCATTCAAATATAAATATAAATAAACAATTTATTCAAATTTTTCCAATATTGAACTTAAATAAGCAAGTCTAATAAATGTGAGCATATACATACATATAAATTGTAAGTTTGTATTGTTTCCTAACTACAAAATTTGTAGGTCGCACTATGCAATATATGCTTACTTTTTTAATAAGTTTTAGTTATTCTCCCCCTCACGCCGTGCGTTCAATAAATTTAAATTTTATTATTTTCACGTATGTGTAACGTTCTACAGAACATGAAAAGTAATAAATAGGCATACTTAAACCAAAACCTGCATTCGAACACTAGTTAAGCACTTGCACTTAGATTGCGTTTACTTGCTCTCCCATAACTAAATATGCCATAGTAAACACGTATACAACGGTTCGACATCTGTTAGTTTCGTGCAACAGTTTTTGTTCTTAATACTAATTAAAATAATTTTATTCAAGTTTTGTGTAATCTTGTTGGAACTATAAAAATGCTTCGGTTACTTCGAATTATCATTAGCGTTGTTTTGTATTTAATTCTCATTTAATTTTAATATACTATATGCTTTTGCCGAAATGTATGTATGTATGTATTCTTTCTTGTGGTAATTTCTCACGCTTAAGTAAATAAATACATCATTTCAATTAAAATCAAAAATCTTTATTTATTTCACAATTATAATTATTATTATTTTTTTAATAAATAAAATAAAAATAAATGGTCTACAAATTCTTTTATCGTTCTTTTATAAAACATAATTTAAATGTATTATGTTATATATTTGCTCCCAGATAGTATATAGAGCATTATCTATATCGAACATAAATTCATGTATCATTTTACATGTGCTGGTATTTGTAACCATACCTTATACGTACATACAGTATGTACGAGTTTACAATTTTGTTCAATTAATTGTATTTAATTTTTTAGAGCAAATTTTTCTTCGCTTTTACCATTTTTTCCTTAAACTCGTTTCTATCGTTATTTTTAAAATCTTAGAATATATATAAATCGGTGATTTTTTTATTGTTCTGATTGTTCTTTTGTTGAGCAACTTTAATTACCAAATTTCGCGACGACTATATAGAGGACTTTGATTTTGCGAGTCCTGCCGCAAATGTTCCGCAATGTTGTAACAATAAACAAAAGAGCTAAACTAAACATTCATTGTTTTACAATGCATTGATAGCAAAATAAGAAGTGAAAATTTGTAGTTTACGATTCTTTTTCTGTTTTGCCGTGGAAAGACAACACGAACATACCTTAACAAGAATGGAAACTCTTGATTGCATTATTTAAATACATATTTATATACATACTTATACATAAATATAATAATTGAACAAATAATTTAAATAATGAAAGACGTATATAAATGTAATTTAAAAGAAATATATAAATCAAATGGTTTTCTTTAAATTGTTAATTAAAATGTAAGGAAATATCATTGAAGAAAAATATTAGAAAACTAAACATCCAATTAACAAAACAAAGAACGAAAAAAAAACTAGAAACAAAAATCGCTTTGTTTTATAACCAGCTATTACAACAAACAACATAAAATTAAAAAAGAAATGCAACAATGGCTGCGCGTAAAACTGTAGATACGCAGTAATTACATAAATACGCTATAAAAACTTGCATAAAAAGTGTTTCCATTAAACTTTTTGAAACTATTATTTAATAAAATAAAAGTATATTACCAAACTGAAACAAAACCAAACAAAAATACATACAACAAGTATAAACAGATGAAATAAACCAATAGATAAAATTAACGAAAACCCGCGCAGAAACGAAAAATGCAAAAATTACCTTAAATATATTATAATAAATGGAAAATTACAATTTGCGTATACTTTTATTTTAACTTTTACATAACTGTTTAAATGACTATAAACTCCCCTTCCAACTACACCGCTTCATCAGGGTAAATAATGTCACACCCTAATACAACACACCACACCTTGGAACACATTGACTACTATAACTAACTCTATAATAGCACGAAGTATACTTAATACGTAGAGTATGTTAGATTTAGCGGAATAAAGTTCCGCACTTAGGTTTGCTACGCATCCTCCTACTAACAAAAATTCTTTTAAGAACGTTTGAAAGTTAAATATATTGAGTTGATGTGCAAAACGTCAACCAGAATCGCAATTGATGATATTGGGGATGTGAGATTAAGACCAAGGTCTAAATCAACTCCAATGATGTTCAGCGCTAAACCACTCAATTATAAGGTTTGTTAGAATAACGGAAATTATTATATGTTGTATAATACAATTTCACATATTTTCGGCACTAAGCTAAAGTCTATCCAATATTATGCGTTCAGTTAATTTTGCTAAGATATCTTACATATTGGCCGATATAGTAATAGGTGTAGTATTGACCCGATTTTAGCTAGTCTGTCCTTCTGAGTTTCTAGTCCCTTTGAGTTTCTTTAAGGTCCCTCACGTGCCATCAACAATATATAATATAAAGAGTAAAGTCAGCCGAATGTTCGAAAATATTGGTATTAGTTATACGGGGTTAAGGTAAATATTGACCGAAAGTGAAAGAATAAAATTGAATTCAAAATTGTGTTATATAGTAAGTATGAGTGGTTGCAATCCGATTTCGTCAAATTCGCACTGTTACATGGGAATGTCAAAATAATCATTTTCACCAAATTGATTGAAATTGGTCAAGTAGGTCCAGAGATACATATGTGATTTCACCTAAATGTGGGCGGCGTGTCTCTGATACATTCAGTTATTAATTTATTGCATTTATAGCAGTTTTTAACAAAAGTGTTATAAGGGGAGTGGGGGTACTTATCAACCGATTTCTCCTATTTTCACACTGTTGCAAGAGGTATTGAAAGAATTTGTCCTATGCAAATTTGGATAATATAGCTTGAACGGTTTGGGAGATATATACAATAAATATACTAAGGAGCGGGGCCACGCCCACTTTTTAAAATTTTTTAACCCGCAGGTCCCCCTTTATTGCGATTCGTTGTAGTAAATAAAGGTTGGGTATCTTAATTTGCGGCTTACTTATGGTTAATTTCGTTTTGTGGGTGGTCCGATTACGCCCATCTACGAACTCGTCCTCACTTCTTTGGCAAGGAACACTTGTATCAAGTTTCACCATCAATATTAATATTTACTCAAGTTACAGCTTGCACAGATTCGCGGACGGATAGACAGACTTCCAGATTTCAACTCGTCCATCATCTTGATCTTTTATATGTATATATTGTATCACCTAAAACTAATCGAGATAGATGAAGGTTTATATATATATATATACAAACAACCGTTAGGTGAACCAAACTATCATTTTCTGTGGCGACATGTTGCAATAGTATAAAAATTAACGATAAGAGCTTGGCCTGATCTCATCTCTATTATTCTATGCCCAGTACTATGCATTTTTTCTTTTGTATAGTGAACACACCTAATGTTTATCGGTATTAAATATAAAGAAATACCAGCAAGTGGGCACCACTCTCAGCTGTTTTTGTTGATAAGATTTTCGGCTGCCAATTCATATAGTAAACTAGTATCAACTTTATCATTTCGGTTTCTAAATTATCCGTGGTTTGGTTAGCTCGCAGCGAAATGTTTTGAAACAACAACAAAGTTAAAACATTAAAATACAAAGCCAGTTACAAAATTAAAACTGAAATTCTACTTCTCCAGTTACGTGAGTCACGTGCCTTAGAATCAAGTTAGGACCGAGCAGGTTGGTGTGGAATTGCTTTGTTTAATCTATAAGCAAAGTAGTGTTTGTCTACTAATTACATAGGTTTTACTAGCTTTTAGCTGTGCAAATATACCTTTAAACTTACTAATTTACACATTATGATGACGTAGGTGCGGTGTAGTACCTACAGGTTGTTTTTGTTTTTTTCTTGCAGCCATCGACATTGAGTAGTGGCAATTATTAGTGACGAAACGGTTTGAAGACGCAAGATAAAATAAGATAGTAACAAAAACGGTATTGCGTTATAGAAGTTGATAAACTGTGTATCGAAACTCCAGTGTTTGAATCTTCTACCTGGTAATTTGCTCAAATTGCATATGGATAAACATTTACACTATATTGACTTTTTTTTTATTAATTTCAATAATGGTGTAGATCACTAATCTGAAAAATGTCAGAAACACCGGTACTCGAACCTTGCATACCATTGTCAATTGAGGAACGTACATTGATTGATGTGACGGAAAAGGCGAAAGATTGGGCTATTATGCATGGTGCTGCTATGCGCTCCAAAGCCAACTTTAGCTCGGATTCACTAAATGTAATTTGCCAGACATTTCATTATACATACATACGATATATATAATATATAGTATATATAATATGTATAGTAAATACTATAGTAGTTGTGAAATTCGAATGCCAACCCTTTCCCTCCGCTGTGTGTGTGAATGATATGCAAATTCTCATAACCATAATACTGTATTTTATTACAGCTTAATATTAACTAAACAGACAGCGCACAACATGTTTGCATATGGATATATTTTGACTTTTTGTTGTTTAAGTTTGCTTATTTAATTATCTTACATGTTTTATATTACATACATAGTTTGCACCGTTTATATTGATGCCGTCGTCCTTCCCACGCAAAGAATTTGAAAAGGCTAAGAATTTGCAAACCATAATCAATCAATTGATGCATAATGTGGCGCATGATGAGGAATTTCTAACAACAACTCTAGCCGAAACTGTAAAAGTGGATGAGTTCACTGCAAATTTATTTAATGTGTACAAAAAAGTACTCGCTAATGGTTTTGGACAGGTAAGATAATAGTTATGCATCACTTATACGATATCAATAATCTTTCATAAATTGTTCGAATTATACTGCAATTTCAATTATTATTGTTAATAAAAATTTTCATGAAGAACATTTTACACCTCTGTACCGTACAATACCCATTGATGATAGACTCATATATAAAATCGAGATTCAAAAATAAATTTAAAACTTACGAATATCAGGATTTCTGATTGAATTTCGCCATCATGACATGGTGCTTTATGCTTGAATATTTCTTTATTATTTAAAAACTTTGACATGTATACCGTCCGAATTGTTCTTACTGTCAGTGAAGACTATTTGTTGTGTCTGTGTATAGGGTTTTCGATAAATGGATCATCTTTCATGTTTTAAGCCGGCTCATATGATCTAAAATTTTGCATATTTCTTTAAGAAATGTTAAATGACTAATTTTGATCAAAACAAATAAAAAATGTATTGTCACTGGAACTCGATGTGGCTTGATTGAGGCAAAATATTCAATAAATATAATAATAATGCTCGGAAGTTGCTAGATTCACACATTTCTTCATTAAATCTTCTGTTGATCGTAATCTAAGCAAAAGCTCATCTTAAAAGCTTTTATTAGGATTATATTCTATGATTTTTTTCTCCAGACATTTAAGAAATAAAGAAATAAAGTGAAAGTTAATAATATACAACATATTCAATTAGCTTGTAGTGGTAGCTAAACCATTGATTAGTCCCCAAAAAAACATCGAAATTAATATGCTGCTTAATTATATGAAAGGCAATAAATTAAGTCATTCGCGTCATATCCTCATTTAATTTTAATAAATTACTTGTTATCGCACATTCACATTCTGTTACTTGCCCACATTAGTAGTTAATTAGTTACACATGTACATTGGTTAAATAAATATATAGTAATTTGTTAATATCACTTTCTTGTCTGATGGTTTCTAATTTTTTGATTATTTCATTATTTGTTTATGGTCATATGAACACGTACGCTCACTGGCAATCGTATGAATCGTACATAATATAAACGTGAAAAACTCAAAAATTTTAACACAAAAAAATATTAATAAAAAAATCAAAAAATTACCACAAAAAATTTAAAAAAAAATCCTAAAAATTCGACTACAAAAAAAAATCAATAAAAAAATCAAAACTAATCAATCAAAATTAATTAAATTTAAAAATGCACCACACTGAAATAATTACACAAATATAATATTATATGTAGTCAATTTCGTTGGGCCTATTGCGCAGTGATTTGATGTTGGAGACGAATTGTGCAGAATTGCTAGAAAAAGAGAAACAAACCCCGTGTGCCTACTGTTGCTGGAAACAAGTTGAAATTAACACTATAGCTTCTGGTTTTGGCCATTTAGGACCAGTAAGCAAAGATATACAAAGGTGCAAAATTCATTATTAATTTCATTTTATTCTTTCCATATTTTAACTGTAACAATAGCGTGTAGCCAAACAAATTGTTGATTTGATGCATTTACTTAATTTAATAGCTAGCTACAAAAACTATGAATTTGATTGAAGAAAAGCTTATTTTTCGCAAAGCGTCTTTTTTATTCTTTATTATATAGATACATATATACAGTTCTTATGGCGTAATTTTTCATTTAGAACTATTTTGCAACAAGCATCTGCTCTATACATGCTAGGTTTATATTGGTTTTAATTTAGTATAATTCCTTTAAGCTCTCTTTTTTTAGTTTGTATTTTTCATGATTTGCATTTATTGTAGTATAATATGTTGGTTTTGCATAAATGCTTGCATGCTTTCAATATTTATTTAATTTTATTTTAATTTATTTAATTTCTAATCTAAGAATGAAGTGAGCCAATAAAATTTTTTTTAATAGTAATAATAAAGGTTTTGAAAACAGTTACTTTGTAGTAACTTAGAAAAAAAAAAATTAACGATTATAATATAGTAGGCGTGGTTAATAGCTTGTTCAATTATCTTTAGAGAATATTAACGGCCTTCTACTACTTGCTTCATTGCTAGAGTTCTACTGATTGACACCTTTTTCGTTTATCACAGATTTGTTCGATTCGTCCCTCTTCAAGTTTTCATGGTTATTATTGCTGTAGTGGAAAAAAATTTTTCGCATGTTTTGAAGAATATATATTTTATAAAAATTTTTAAATATTTTCTAACTATATGACATTTGTATACCCTAAATAAGGTATATTAAGTTTGGCACGAAGTTTGTAACACCCCGAACGAAACGTCGGAGTCTATAAAATATTTACATATAAATGAACAACATGATGAGCTGAGTCGATTTAGCCATGTTCGTCTGTCTGTTCGTCTGTTTGTATATACGCGAATTAGTACCCTTCTCCCCAAGAAGCTGCTCATTTGTCCGAACCGTCGATATCGAACCAATGCAGCATATAGCTACCATACAAACTGAACGATCACAACGAGTACATGTACAACCGTTGGTACAATCTTCGAAGAAATTATTCAGATCGGACCACTATAGCATTAGCTACCATACAAACTGACCGATCACAATCAAGATAATGATCTTTTTATATCCTTTTAACCTATAAGAAATACACCTGTGAAAGATATTATAACTTCGGAATAGTCGAAGCTATTGTTTTTTCTTGGCCTTTGACTTTTTTTTTGTTATTATTGTAGTAGTCATGAAATTGTTATTAGTTTATGAAAACTATTTCGATGTTAAACTGCAAATAAATCTCAATAATTTCAATAATATAACGCCAGCTGTTTTTGAAAACTACCCATTTTTTTGGTTGTTGTTGTTTTTGTTGTCACAATATTAAACATGCCCCAAAATGCATTTGGCAATGCAGCTGAGTTCTCTGTCCCTAGCCGGATGTAAATCCTGGTCCGTTCGAGTTACGCAAACACGCATATTAAGTAAACATCAGGTCGAGCTAATTTTAGAGGACAAGTTCAGTGATTTATTATGTGATTTATAGTTGTTAATTGTTATATAAATTCATTTCAATAGTAAAAAGGATATTAAGTAGCACAAAGCACAATTTTTTCGATTAAATATTTAATTATAACCTAGCGTATTTTTTGTATTATAATAAAAACAATAACTTTAGAAAAACAGAATTTAATAATGAAAGTCCATTTTAATATAATTTTATTGTATTTAGAAACTTATTGCTTGTGCCGCAACGTATGAGTGCTTTATTTTTGCATATAAAACTTATTTCCTAATATTATTATTATTTTGCCACTAAATTTGTGTTTTCATTTTATTTTGCAACTCAACCCGTTTTTTCTCCTCTCATATCATAATTTTTAAACTTTTTTTTATAGACTTTACTATTAACATTTTTGCATTTGTTTGGCACACAGTTTGGCCGGGGAATTTTCGTAAATTGTTTTTTAAGATATAATCAACTAAAAGCAATCAAAGCGTTTAAAAAGTGGACAAAGTGCAATCAAATGCAACACCTCTAAGCATTTGAGAACTACGTTGTGATTTCTTCTTTTCACAAGCCATATCAATTCTGAACGTTGTACGCAAGTGAATTTAGTAAAATCAACTAAATTTTGCTTTCAAATTTTATTTTAATCATTCCTAAAACCTTAGCATTGTAAATACGCATTTTTTATGAAACATTTGCAGTATGAGCTAGCTCGTTCATTTTTCCAAATCAAATCAAATCACTCAATCAACTTAAAGAATTGCTCACATCGCATCGAAAGCGCATTCCACCACCAATTCCACCAAAAACCAAATCGAAAGCAAAGTCACTAAACATCAAAGCAATAAGTAGCAAGCACCAAGTTCAGCTATAACTTAAATAGTCGGTAGTGTTCGTGGTGGTTTAAGAATTGAGTGCATAATTTTCTCAATATGTCACTTATGCTCTTAAATTTACCAACAATTAATTTTCCATTAAATCATTTAACGTATTTTTCTTATGAAGTAAATCTTTGTATGTGTATCAATTTTCAGGCTTATTCGCTCGGTTTATTACGTTCCGACTATTTGGCTCACATGTTCGAAGACAATTCAGTTAAACAAGTTGAAATCAACACGATTGCCTCTAGTTTCGGTGGCATCTCCACACAAATGATGCCTCTTCAGAGGTATTTTAATTTTTTCCACAACATCAAATTATATTTTTTCTCTTTTTTATTTTTCTATTTTTTGTTTTATGCTCTATATGTGTATGTATGTATTTAATTTTTTTTTCTGTGTAAGCACAAACAAAATATACCCAATTTTTTCAGCAAATCAACTAATTAAACTATGTATATTAATTTTTCAAAGCCTAGTGTACAATTACGCCGCTTGTTAAATATTTGTAGCCCTGCTTAATATTTGTAAATACCAACTTATGTCATTTAATACGTTTTATTTTCCAATTTATTGCACGTAACTTATTTTTCTTGTTTATTTATTTATCTAGAAATCCATAGTTATGTTAGATGTTATATTTATATATATATATATTTATAGTTTCAAGATAGGTTAGAATATTTTAGTTGGCCTTGCAAATGTGTTTAGTTTAAAACGCCTCTTACTCATTTATTTGCTTACATAATATATACATAGTGTGTAGTTGTCGAGTTTATGGCGCAATTGTAGACATATTATAATTTAAAGGTTTACCGTTAGCTTTTAAACTTATTTGTGTGCTTAACTTTTAATTTAAATTTTAATTATGTAAAATATTTTTAATCGAATGCATATATATTTTCTCATGCTTCCATAGCTTTGTAATGAGCGAGTTGGGACATGCGGATAAAATTAAAAATGTGAGTATACGATTTTTTGCTAATTTTGAAAATCAAATACTTACAACCATTTTTTTTTTCTTCTAGATGCCCGAAAACACTGCTTTGTCCAGCCTTTGTGGTGGCATGATCAAAGCGTGGGAGGTATATGCTGAGCCCAAAGCGGTTATTCTTTTTGTCATCGAAGATGTTTCCTACAATATTTGCGATCAGGTGTGTAAATATTTGAAAATATTCTTTATATTTACAATTTTATTAATTTAAATATACATATATATTAATATTACAGCGTTTCCATGAGTTTTATATACGCGAACAGCGCCCAAATATAAAAGTATTACGTCGTACTCTAACGGAGGTGCATAAAGAGGGAAAATTGGGACCAAATAAAGAGCTATTACTGTAAGTTATTGTAATTTGAATAGTTAATATGCATATTTATAGGTAATGAAAAACTGCATAGAGACCTTTAATATAGGCATATATTCAAGTCAGAAAAAACGCATTTATTATGCTTTTTTTTTTTTGTAGAAACATTTTGCTCAAAAAAAAAATAAAATAAATAAATAAAAAGGTTCATTTACGGAATCTAATGTACTTTACTCATTTTGTATTCCCTTGAGTACGTAGTCCATCTCCAGGAGGACCTCCAAAGAAAGATTTTCTGCTAAAAATTATCTCAAATCAAAATGAATATAGTTAATGATCGATTACTAGTCTTATTCCTCCGATCATTACCTGACAAATATATCTAAGAAGGTCTCCGTTTCCGTTTGAGAGAAAATTTCCTCACGGACTTTCATAATAGAGTTTCGAGAAGAACGCGTTTAAAGTTTTGGGAGCCGATTACACTAAGTTGTAAAAATCCTACTAATGCGCTCATATCTCCAAAACTATTTACCGGTTGAACTTCAAAATTTCGATGCAAAACAAATTTTCGATATTCACAATTGCATATATCCCCTTACAGAATACTATTTAGTGTTTTGGTTTACAACTAAATAATATAATGTTTAGTTCTAACTTAGTCCTACCTTTCTTGGCTTAATTTTATCTTGCCAAATAAAATAATATCTTAACTGACAAACATAATTTTACAGCTGTGAATATGAAGTGGCTGTCATTTATTTCCGCGCCGGCTATGAACCTCGGCATTATCACTCGCAAGATGAATGGGATGCGCGTTATATGATGGAGTGTTCGCGTGCGATAAAATGTCCTTCCATACACTACCATTTAGCCGGCACTAAGAAGGTACAGCAAGCGCTTGCTCAACCCGCGATGCTAGAACGGTTTATAAGCGACCCAGAAAAGGTTGGAAGAATAAAATTAATATCTTATTTAAGATTGTGAGAAAACAAAACATTTTTCTATTCAGATAAAAGCTGTGGGACAAATCTTCACTGGGCTCTACTCGTTGGATGACTCTGAAGCAGGCAATGCCTCATACGAAATGGCATTGAAAGAACCGGAACGTTTTGTGCTGAAGCCACAACGCGAAGGCGGCGGTAATAATGTATATGGTGTTGACATTCCAGATGCACTGCGGGTAAGTGCTACTTTCTTGAACAATATTCTATATGTAGTAAATGCCTCAAAGGCAAATTGTGTGTTCTAAATTGAGCAAGTATTTATTCTCAAGAAAGTATTAAATTTACACCCTGAACAGGTAGTATTAAGTTTGCCACGAAGTTTTATAACCACAAAAAGGAACGTCGGACACCTTATGAAGTAAATATATAATGATCTGCGGGACGAGCTGAGTCAATTTACCCATATCCATCTGTCCGTCTGTCAGTATATACGTGAATTAGTCTCTTAATTTTTGAGCTATCGATTTGAAATTTTTCACACTTGCTCATTTGTCAGAGCCATACAAACTGAACGATCAAAATCTAGCTCTTGCATAGAAAACTTTTTTTATTTGACAAGAAATGCACGAAATTTGGCATAGCTTATTGTCTAAGACAATGCCACAATCTCCGAATATATGGCTCAGATCGGCCAACTATAGCATATAGCTGTCATACAAACTGATCGAAATAATTAAAATTTTATGACCCTGTGAAGGGTATTAGAGCTTGAGGGCAGCCGAAGTTAACGTTTCCTATTTTTTTTATTATTTTAAAATAATTAATTTTCGATTCTGTAAAAACAAAAAAAAAAAATTATAACAATCATGACATTTTCCAAACATACTATATTTTTTATTTACGTATGTATATATTTCATTGATTGCTTTGTGATTTGCAGAAAATGAGTCGCGTTGAACGCGCCGCCTGGATTCTTATGGATCTAATTCAGCCACCAATATCCAAGGGTTACATGATACGTCCGGGTGGCAAATCGCCACCAGAAGTGGTTGATCTCGTTTCAGAGCTGGGCATTTTTGGTGTAATACTAGGTGATGTGGATAATGTGATTTGCAATTACCAAGCGGGTCATATGCTGCGCACGAAACTCTCGACTGCGAACGAGGGCGGTGTTGCAGCGGGACTTGGCGCCTTGGACAGTCCTTATTTACTGGATTAGGGTTTCAATTATCATGTTTTGGTTTTTAAAAAAATTCACACTTTTCTTCATATCTAATTTTTAAGTATTCTAAATTTTTTTATTTTACGAGCGGTAAAAAGTTAGTCTTTTTGATATTTGCCAATTTTAAACCTAACGTAAATCTGAAGCTACTATTTTGCAGAGTTTTTGGCTTTTGCCTATTTTGATAAAATTTTGGAATGTTTTTTTTTTTTTAATAAAAAAATATCACGACTACTTATCATGTATGTACATAATATGCTATTAAATAAAAAAGTAGAACACAATTTTTTAATACAAATCATATTTTAAAAATATATGTATTTGTATTGAGTAGAACATGTCACAGCAATAATCAAAAATATATAAACATCGCCATTTAGAATGATTAAGAAAGAAACAATTAAAACACAGATAAAATTTTGACCTCAGGACATTACTACACATCTTCATATACAAATACATTTCTTCTTCTTCTTCTTTGAGGGCCTCTCTCAGGCGCGTCGTGGCAGGGTTTGGTGAGTAGAAAATTTGGCGTTTATACGCTTACTACCACTACTACTTCTGTTGGTCTGGACAGGCCATTTGATATAGGAATTGTATCATAGTGCGAGTTGGGCGGCCCGTCATGCGATCTTTTAACAAATATGGCAGAGTACCGTATTTTGTCAACATACCGACTCCTCGTATATCCAAATGAGCCCAATCGACACAGGGCACAAATTGCTGCATAAAGTTAAAGTAATTAAATTATAAAAATAAAAGTTAATAAAAAAATTCAGGAAAGTTCAAAACTTACGTGCAATATTGCCGCTGCCAGACATGATGAAGCCGGTCCAGAACCATTGTTGCTGACATCAAAACTAACATGGTCTAGCAAAAATAAAATGAAATAAAAAATGTAAACCGTTATTGAATTTCAAGTGGTGATACTCACTCGTAACCAAATATTTATAGTAGTTCCACAATGGTAAGCGCCACATGCGATCGCCTGTTAGTGAACCAGCCTTTTGGAATTGCTTCCAAATGTAATGGGAATTTGAAAATATGCCCGTAGCTCCACCACCCAACGCTTTTTTGACACCCTTACCAAGCGTAGCCACATCAACCACCAGACGTGGTTTGTATGTAGTCTGTGCATAGATCAATGGATCAGCCATCACCACAACGCCAGCCTTATCCGTGTCCTAGTTAAGAAAAGCAGCATACAAAATCACAATTTATTTTTAGCTTTTTTGCTTTGTGTGCTTTCTTACGCGTATCGCCAATGATTTGCCGTTGAGTAATGTGACCACGTCACCTGGCTTGCAAGCCATGCCCGAAGGCATATTCTCGCAAAGTGGTATAACAGCGGAAATATTAATGGGCAACGATAAAGCCGCGGCGGCACGAATGGAAGCGACAACAACAGCAGCACCGGCCATGGCTCCACGGTATTCATCCATACCTTTGCATGGACGCAAGCAGAGGCCGCCACTGAAATAGAAGAATAAAAATATTTTAGTTAAAAAATTATTAATAAGTATTTCCTTAAATTTTTGGTTTCTTTCAATTTTTTTTACTTTATACCATATTTGCTGCGTACACACTTCAATTATAGCCGTTATATGCTCACCTATTGAATGTCATACCCTTGCCTAACAACAATATCGGTTTATCTTCGGGAGCTGTGCCACAATAGCTTATCTCCAACAAGACAGGCGGCTCACACGAACCTTTCGCGATCATTAGAAAAGAGTTGAGATGTTGTTGCTCTATCCACTCCATTGTACGAATCTCCACAGTTACACCACATGGGCATAACGCATCGACGGTAGCTTGTGCAAATGTGGTAGGAGTCATTTGGTTGGCTGGTGCGTCGCTAAGACGACGTGCAAGATTTTGTGCTTCGGCTTTAAATAGACCACGTGTCCAAGCGTCTATGTCGGGTGAGTCATACAATTCTAATTTAGGAATTACTGTTCGGTCTTTTTTCATTTTATTATCTTGATAACGCCAAATCGCCAAAGCACTACCCTCGGCCGCCTGTTCGGGATATTCCATTGAATCGACAAAAACCTCTGAACAGCCTTGCATCTGCAGGCTACGTGCACCGACACCAGCTGCTACGCGAACATTTTCCTATGTAAAAATTTCGTTATTTTATAGAAAAAGTACTTATAGTATGTCCCAATAGTAGCTGGTATTATTTTAAGGTTATGTATTCTTTAAATTTATTTTTTGTATCAAAACTAATCATTGTTTTGAAACGTCTATGCCCTTCCCATGTAGTATTGTTTACTTTGAAACTCGTTACATAAACGATCATTGTAATTAATTTTTTTTATGAAACATAAGATTTTCTTGTCAATTTTTTTTTTCAATGAAAGTTTAAATCAAAAATTTTAAATGTCACATTTTCCAAAATGTTTTCAACGCAGAAAATTTATCTATTGTCAAAATGATTTCCAACTAACTGTCAGTAATTGGGAACAATCCATATTATTTATCTTCTTACCATGCCTTCATCCAACATTTCCAACTCATTGAAACCAGCGCCTTCACGCCCAACACCAACCACTGCTATAGATCGAAATTCTTGATCAATATTATTGAAAACCTTTCCTCTGCCCAATCTTCCAGATAGATTCGTTCTACATTCACACGAAAACACAATGGTCACGGCATGCATTGATATTGGTCACTTGTGCGTCGTACAATTCGATCTAATACATGTTAATATTTTATACTCACTCTTTGATTAACTCAGATACTTTGCCCTGCACACGGTCATCGAATTTCTCTCCACTCGATGTTAGCTTTGCCTCCTTCTCGCCCTCCTTCTGATATAGGCCGATCACAAGTCCTTTCTGTATGGTGGTGTAATAGAGAGATTTATCATCACAACAAGTGTTTCGAGCATTGGATCATTGTATGTATTTGAAACGGTTTAAATTTGTTGGCGCTTACCGTCACACGCGAATCATCGGCGTAACACCTCAGATAGACTTGTTGGAAATTTTTCACATTCCGAAATCTCAGCAGAGATTTTGTTAGCCAATTTGTTATGCGCAGCGAGGACATAGTTTGCAAGTAGTTTTATCAATTTAATTTTAATTATTTCCTTTTATGCAAATTTTTATATATAAAACGGTTTTCAGCTTAAAAATTTTCAATAAAAAATAAAATTGAAATTTAGATCTGACTGAATATTTTTCACAGCTTGTTACAGTTCGTTTGAGTGTCTAGAAACAAAGTGCAAATGGTTCTTACTTGAGAGCCAACTATTAAACCGTTTGGATCATAATTGATTGCTTTCGAAGGTGCATTTTTTGTAATTTATTTTTCATATGTAATTACAAAGTGCTCTTGTTTTATTTTAATTGTATTTTTTCTTGCACTATCATAATATAAGCATATGATATCGCATTTTTTCACAATCTTTGCCATGAGGATTAATTCAATATACAAATGATTAATAAATCATATATTTTCTAAAATATTTTTATGACATTTTGGGGATTAGGATTATGTGTTTAAGAAGTATGTCGGTAAAACACGAAAATCGTGAGAAACATTTGTAAGTGTATATGTATATATAAAAGAGCAGTTATATTAAAAACTTATTTGCCATATGTTTATCCGTTCCTATTACGTAAACCCAACTATCCTGAGAAAATTTTCGTAAGCCGTTGACACCTAGAAATGCCAATGTTTTGCAGCTTATGATAAAGACAACATTTTCTAATATTCGAAGTTTAAATTATCACAATAACATCTTAACAGAATTAATATATATGGCACTTCAAATATAAAAACATCAAATTTTATAGGTTAATTGAATTACATCTGCACTTCTCGATAAATAACTTTGAAGAGTGTAGCTTGTGTATAGATATTTATTGATACTAATTACTACAATTTTTGCAACATTTGTTTAATAACATTATAAAGTAAAACCTTGTAACTTATAGAACTTTCGCTACTAAACCCTAAAAAGGATGAAAATATATTGCACCTATCCAAATAGTAAACAACATTTAGCGCTTAAATACTAAAGCAGTACTTTTTAGCTTAACCATTTTCGGTAAGTATCATCCATGAGATGATCGGTAAATTTATCTATGGGACCAATTATTAATGGAATTGAACACAAACCAACTGCGGTGGGTAATATCTTTCCGAAAGCTTTTTTTACTTCCGCTTTTCGGAGCAAATAGCCAGTCAGCCAAGTTATTCTAGAAATTTTGCATTAAAGAAAATAATATACATAAATCTATAACTTGAAATATTTTTTATCTTTACCTATTAATTGTGATGCCAGGAATGATGACAGAGGCGACCATTTGCCATGTGAATACATCACCAGTGACAACTGCTATTTGTTTAGTGCTGCTTCTGCGTTGATGTTCCTTGATTGATTTATCAACAGCATCAGCACATACATAAGCCGTGGCCAGTAAATAGGATGTACGGACCAAATTGCGATGTATAAGTGGGCGGAAGGCTTCACCTACCTCGTTGGAGTATCCTTTATGTGATATATTGCATTTATTCAGTTATTACGTAAGATTTGGGCAATTAGTACGAACTTTTATTGTTTTTTTTATGAAATTATAAGTATATCTATATACCGTTAGATTAAAATTAATACTAGAGGTTGGGTTCTTACCTAAATATCGGAGTTTGCTATCCCTATACACGTCGTATTCTTTGCTCATTTTTACCAAATAACAAGAGGTGGCTTTAGTTTAAGCGAGAAATGGCATAGTTAATATGTTATATAAGATTTAACTGCAAATATATTCTTACATGTGTAAGCTAATTAGAACCAATTGTCACCGAAGCATCAATTTTATTATATCTTGCCTATCTCATATTATTTACTCTGGCACATCTTCACTTCACTTTTGCTTTTTATTTATCATAAACCATAATGATGTTTTGCGTTTGCAAAATATGTCCCTTTTTCTTTCTTTTTCTTTTGTCGAGCAAAACATAATTGAAAATTGTAAGCAAAACAAAACCTATAAAATTCAAATTGACCAGATTATTTAATCACAAATCTTTAAAAAAATGTTAACTAAAGTTACAGCTACACTCTTTATATAATTTTATTGTTGCAACTTAAATATATTTTAGTGTAAACAAAGTTTGGTAAATGAGTTTCGTAAATTAAAAAAAATTGTTACAATTAAAATTAATACAATATAAAACAAATATTATATTACTCGTTATTTTCACACTGTTCGAATTTCACCAGAAAATAAAAAAATTATATAGAAATCTTAATTATCAAAAAAATTATTCGATTAAATTAAATTATATAAAAATCGTTTACAAAATTGTATGTTTGTGTGTTCATACAACCCTGCAGTTTGAATCAAGTGCCGAAGGCAAACCAGTCGCGACATGTTGCAATGCAATAAATGTCAAATGCGCAACGAATGAGTGATTATAAGAAAAAAGTGCGAAACAACGAAAGTTTGACTGGAGAATTATCTTTTGTATAAGTTCTTTTGAAAAATCTACGTTCTTATAAAACTACAGCGTGGATTTAAAATATAGCGCCTTAAGTGTTTAATTCGAATAAAAGTTTAAAAGGTTTGAAAGTTTTAAAAGTGAAATATACAAAGGAAAACAGTGATTCACAAACTATAAATGCTACGAAATTGACCTAGTACATTGAAATGCGAAAATATTTTGGGAATTATGCGCGTCGATTAGTCATTGCTTATGTTTGTTTTTTTATAAAATATTTAAATACTCCTATATATGTATATCGAATTTTTTTTGAAATACAAAAAAAAAGGCCTATTGGAGCTCTTAAAAATCCTTTTTCAATTGATATCTTGCAAAGATAATTTAAGTTTGGTTATCGATTTGAATCTACAATGTTTTCTATCTTATTACCGTGGTGACTGCGGTTTGATCTGTGATGTCATTATTATGAAGTCAGCTGGGCAGGACTTACATTACGTGCTATCTACTAAAAAGTAATAAATACTATAATATATATTTTACTTCATGTATTTTGCAGTGACGTGTCAACAATGGCCTCAGGCACGACTTTGCAAAAAGCTATTGATTTAGTGACCAAAGCGACAGAAGAAGACCGCAACAAAAACTATGCTGAGGCTTTACGTCTCTATGAACATGGCGTAGAGTATTTTCTACATGCAATTAAATGTACGAAAGTGAAAAAATTTGAATACGGTTAAATTAATTTCTGATTTTGTTTTATAGATGAGGCACAAGGTGAGAAAGCCAAGGACTCGATTCGTGCCAAGTGCCTGCAGTATTTGGATCGAGCTGAAAAGCTTAAAGAATACCTCAAAAAAGGCAAGAAAAAACCAGTAAAGGAAGGTGAATCAAGCTCGAAGTAAGCAACCAAAATTTGTTTTAATACGTTAATTATTTCAAAAAATACACCAACTTTTTCAGAGATGATAAAGATAAAAAAGATGATAGTGATTCAGATGGCGAAGATCCTGAAAAAAAGAAACTTCAAAGTAAACTGGAAGGCGCAATAGTAATTGAGAAGCCACACGTGAAGTGGTCCGATGTGGCTGGTTTAGATGCTGCCAAAGAGGCTCTTAAAGAGGCAGTTATCCTGCCAATCAAATTCCCTCATCTATTTACGGGCAAACGTATTCCTTGGAAAGGTATTCTGCTTTTTGGCCCTCCCGGTACCGGCAAATCCTATCTGGCCAAAGCTGTTGCCACAGAGGCAAACAATTCAACTTTCTTCTCAGTTTCCAGTTCGGATTTGATGTCAAAATGGTTAGGTGAATCCGAAAAGTTGGTAAAAAATCTCTTCGAATTAGCACGTCAACATAAACCATCAATTATTTTTATCGATGAAATTGATTCCATGTGTTCGGCACGTTCGGATAATGAAAACGACAGTGTGCGACGCATCAAAACCGAGTTCTTGGTGCAAATGCAGGGGGTTGGCAATGACACAGATGGTATTCTGGTACTTGGTGCCACGAATATACCATGGGTATTGGATTCTGCTATACGTCGACGTTTCGAAAAGCGTATCTACATTCCATTACCGGAGGCTCATGCTCGTCTGGTGATGTTTAAGATACATTTGGGTAATACCGCACATGTTTTAACCGAGGTTGATCTCAAAGAGCTGGCATCAAAAACAGATGGGTAAAGAAATGAAACATAATTAACCGTAAACCATTACCTTTTTATTGCATATACACTTTTACAGTTACTCAGGCGCTGATATTTCCATTGTTGTGCGTGACGCTCTTATGGAACCAGTGCGTAAAGTGCAAACCGCCACACACTTCAAGGTTTCCGCTTTTAATGCAATTTGTGTTAACTAGTGTAACTGAATTTTTTTCTCGATTATTATAGAGGGTAACTGGTCCGTCACCAACAAATAAAGAAATTATAGTTGATGACTTGTTGGTGGCCTGTTCGCCTGGCGATGACGGGGCAACTGAAATGTCCTGGATGGATGTGCCTAGTGATAAGTTATTTGAGCCACCAGTTACTATGGTAAAGTCGATGTGAATATTATTTGGTGTCAAATAAATTTTAAAAATTTTATTTCTATTTTCAGCGCGACATGTTGAAATCTTTGTCTCGTACAAAACCCACTGTCAATGACGATGATCTAGTTAAGCTGCGTAAGTTCACCGAAGACTTTGGACAAGAAGGATAAACTACAAACAAATTTCTAAAACAAATTGATTTTGTTATAAATATAAGTGAATACTGTACGCAAATTGATTAATTGTTGCCTATTTGATAAAAAGGGAGTAAAACCATTCTAAGCCCAAAATAACTAAGTGGCAAAACTTAATTTAAAAACCTTAGATCAACTCGATATGTTTAACCATGAAAAACAAATAACACAAATTTTCATGGCAAACATTAATTTTCATTTGTTTTTTATGTACACATTGCATTTTATATATATTTTGGCATTACATTTTATATATATTTTGACATACTCAAATGCAGAAAAGATCCGTTGCGATACGAGCCTAGCAAAATGCTGATTTTATTTTATAAGAAAGGATAGCGCCAATAAACAGTAAGCAAGTCAGGTATTTTTTTAGGAAGCAAGTGGGTTTGCCTATTGGCTGATGAAAATTATATTTTATATTAAATTGAAGCAGAAATATGTTTGTAAAAATGTTAAATTCTCTCGATTTATTTAAAAAAATATTACATAAAAAGATATTCTTACTCAAAACAAATAATAAATAATTATTAATTGTACTTCTTATTGTACATGGGTGGTGTCGTTTGGAAAGACGAAAAGTGTGCGCCTTAAAAATTGAATCAATCGTCCCCATTACTTTCAATTCTAAGCATTGGATTTTTTATGTCATAGAAAAGTATCATTTCCTAATTAAAAATCACATGAAATAATAAAAAAGTGTTTATTTTTGAATTAAATGTGTATGCTTACGCGACATTTTTCCAGGTTTAAGGTGCAGATGGCTTGTGTGGTCTCTTTGACGGCCTTCACTTCGTCGCTATGCGCTAGCCGCACATGTGGAAAGTTGTCTTCGCCCGTTTCAATTGCGATTAGATTATCACGCGCTAGAAAAGCTATTTGAAAGGCATTCTCTACTGTGTTCATAAAATTTTTCGGATCTATAATGAGTTTGTAGTAGGGAATGGCGCGTCCACCGTTACTGTTTAACATTTGACGCAGTTGGTTGCCCACAATATTTAACTTATTGGCACCCTTGTCCTTGCGCTGTAGTTTATCAATGTTTTCAGGACGTTTTTCCTCCGCCTACATCAATCAATATAATTGCGAGTGTCATTTTTAATTTTTTTTCACTATTCCCTGGTAACCCACCTGTTCGTTCCGTTTTCGTGGTTGCCGCTCTTTTGTCACACGCTCTTTAACTTCAACTCTATAAGCGCCGAGCATTGTGGATTTCGCGCGTGCCATTCGCGCTATAGCGCAAGCGATCTCTGCGAAGGGTTTCCAATTATCGTCACCTTGTGTGGCCACAGTTTGCCGCTGCAATATAAATTTATATTAGATTATTAAAAAGTGTTAGTTTTTTGGATTTATATTGTTTTCTTACGATTGCATTTTGATAGATTTTCTCGCTGAAAGCTCCCATTAACGAACTCTGTTGAAAAACCTTGGACATCAATTCGTGGTTCATTTTCAGCAATTGAGCGTCACGCATAACTTCGCTGGTGTGCTCAGCGCGATCAGTGACCTTGCCCTCGCCATGAATGAGATCTGAACTTTTTACGACCTTCGATAGTTGGTTGAGTGTCTCTTCGATACTCTGTTCTGTCAAGCGAGTTTCTGTGGAGAAGGTAACACACCATTATTGCACAATATAGGCGTTCATATAATATTTAAAGCGGAAAAATATATAAGCTCCTCTTCTCCATTTCGATTTCCTATATATTTGGAGACAGTGAATAATATTGTAGTATATTATTATGGTTATTGTTTTATGTTTTAAGTAGGGACGATGCTTACAAGCATATATTATATTTGGAAATTTATGAAAATTTAGTCACTGAGGCCAAGTGAAGTGTACATTTTGTCGACTTAGTATATTCAATATTATACTATGTAGAAAGTTAGTCAAACTCTTCTTGAATACGTATTAAAAATGTAAACTTTAATAACTCTCATTCCTCATACCCTAGTTAAATGTTTGTTTGCAGAGCTGGACACGCGTGATTATGAAACTATATTTTCAATACAATGTGGCTATTACTTGAATAGATAGTGGGCGAAAAAGGCTCAATTAAAAATTTGAGGATTATAAATAAGGCTAGTTTAAGTTACAAAATTTCTAAATATAATTTAAAACAAGAAATACAGAGGAGTAGTTTTGATCATTCAGTTTTTATGGCAGCTATATGATATAGTGGTTCGATATCGGGGCTTCCGACAAATGACCAGCTTCTTGTGAAGAAAATGACGTTTGCAAAACTTTAGATAGATATCTCAAAAATTGAGGTATTGAAACTATTTCGCGTATATATAGTCAGACAAACGGATAGACACACATGTTCAAATCAACTTAACTCGTCACGCTGATCACTAATATACCATATGTACTTTATAGGATCTCCAACGTTTCCTTTTGAGTGTTACAAACTTCGTGCCATACTTAACAAAACCTCTACAGGGTATAAAAAAATACAACAGGAACAGTTAAGCAAAAATAAATCTGATAATATAAGTTTGCTAGCTATACAACTTATGGTATTAAACATAACCACGTCATTTGGAAAATGCACGAGAAGGTTAGGATCGTCTGGTGTACGCCTCTCAAGATGCACTGATTTACTTGTTTAATACGATAAGAATTGCAGGACTTAGTCCACCGAGGCAATTCGGTCTATTTTTTGTTGTGCTTTCACCGTTTATATTTAACATTGTTTGGACCCGTGATAAAAGTATCCTATCTAAATAGTGTTCAAGCGGCTTTGAATATTATTGGAATGCCATTTAAGTTTAAGCACCAAAGCTATAATACCCTTACCAATACAATAGGTATCTTTGATTTTGATCTTTTAGTTTACAACTATATGCTATAGTTATCCGATATCAGCTGTTCCGTCAAATATGCAGCTTCTTGGAGAGAAAAGGACGTGTACAAAATTTCAGATCGATATCTCAAAAATTGAGCGAGTAGTTCGCGTTTATACAAACGAGCGGACATGGCTAAATCGACTCAGATTGTCATAATGATCATTTATATATAGATTTTATAAAGTCTCCGACGTTTCCTTCTGAGTGTTACAAACTTCGCACATAAGTTTTGTTGGTAGCTATATTTTTGGCACCGCTTTTCCCCAAATTTGCATTAGGCTACTCAGAGTTGTTGAGGAAACAATGGTAATTAAAGATACATAGTTCCAAGCTGTGTTGTGTCCCACATATATAAATAAACATTTATATATTATGAACGGTCTTGTTTTATTTTAATTTACATGTGTTTTTGTTTTGACTGGTAGTGACTTACGGATATTTCTGTTGGTGTCTATCAAATCCTTCAGGCGCTGTTTTCGATCCAGCGCCTGAGTAACATTTAATTCATCTGCCGTGTTGTTCATAGCTCACTTATATTTGAAACTTATTATTTTAATAAAATATTAGACATATAAATTAACACAAATAAGAAATGTAAACAAAAAAGTGTTAGTGCCCAAAAATACAAACCAAACAAACGATTTGGCAAATTATTGGCGACAGTGCTGACAACTCTGTAGAAGCTGTCTAATTATCGAAATTAGTCAAAGTGCTATGCAGATCTTAAAACATTATTTAATACATTGTACAAACATTAACTGCTTAAAAAGATTTACGGATTTTCTAAATTCCAAAAAACAATAATAGGAAATTTAATGTGTACAATTTGCATTAAAAAGAAATATTGCAAAAGAAAAGATATTAAATAAATAACAAATTGGTAATTTCTCTGCTCTTTGGTCAAAAGCAAAGTTATCGAGTTGAATTGAAACAAGAGAGTATGCGGATACCTCATTAAAGTGGACCAGAACCAGAGAATGTATATATTACATTCTGTAATGTAATAGTAACATTCTGTAATGTAATATATACATTATCTGGACATGTTAGCGCCACACCACAAGTGCTACCCATTTGTTTGAGCATTTGGGTATAGTTTGTTCGCTTCTCTGGAGAGTAACGTTTGGCGTTATTTAATGCACGTTACTTGTAATGTGGCAGCATGCTTTCTGCAGCTTATCGCAGCAGTTTAAATACAAGTGCTAATTTGATTTTATATGTAAAAGTGAATTTTTTATTAAACATTAAACATTTATTTTATTATATATATAAAAAAACAAAATATGCACGAAACGAAAAATACATGTGTACAGTACTATGTCGAAGGCGTAAAATCCCGCAGTAAATTTTGTGAAGGTTCTGAAGGAATGACAATAATAATAAATAATTAATATTAACTGCTGTTACTAAATGCTTAATTAGAAATAGGAAGCATTATTAAAGCGGTCCAAATGATACATTTAGCGTAAAAAATGTATAAATTTGCAGATTTTGTGATTTTCAAGCCAACTACAGCAGAGTAGAAGTTTAAAGTATAATCAGATATTTAACGCGGTATACAAAAACTTATTATATGATTATGGAATTTCTACAGCTGTTCAAAAGCTCAGCAATGCTTCTAAAAAAGTCGAAGGAGGATTACTGTTATAAGTATTAATCCAAATTGCGAAGATGAAAATCTTATTGCTCATAACAATGTGGGAGTGTGTGCGTGTGTATTGCATACAAACAACTCGAGTGTATAAAAGACTTAGGCGACGAACTTAAACCATATTAAGCCGGAATTTAAAAACCTTATGGTGGGAAAAGCAACAAAGAGAGAAAATAAAGAGAAAATCCGCGGTTTAATATATGGAGAAGTTTTAAAAGAGCATAGAATAAGCTTTGGCAAAAAGCATTATACACTTTTAAATTAATTATGTAGTTTTCCATAAGTTTTCTGTAGCTCAAACAAATAGTTGCCAAACAAAAGCCAAAGCGTTTGGTTCGTCTACTTTAGCAGTTTGCGCGGTTCACTTTGTATAACGCGGTCTCGTTTACGTTGCATTAAAATCGCGAGTGTTCAACCGGTGTGTCGCAGTGAGTAACAAACGGGGAAACAACGAAAAGCTTCGAAACGAATGAAAAGGTGATAAAGAGTAATGACAAAATTTTGTTGCAAAATTTTTAAGTTTGGTTATTTTATATGGTTTTCATTTGTTGCGTTCACTGAATTTCAAAGTGATGAGAAAAAGTTGATGAAGAAATATCTATCTACTATCATTGCTAAACTTAAGCAAAATCTATTTAAATTCATTATGTTTTAAAATTTATTGCGAATAAAAAGTGAATTTAAATTTTAATGAGATTTCTTTTGACGTGAACAAGAATTTTGGTGTCCGAAAATTTGCAGACGACTTTCACGTTCGTTTTGCAGCAAACATACATACGTACATATAAATATGTATATATATGAATAAATTGTTGATTTATGCGCATATGTTTGTATGTACATCGGTCAAGGTAGTGTGCACGTACTCGGCAGTTGGGCGCTTGCTGTCTGTAAGGTGAGTACAAATTGGACATAGTAAAACGCTATTAAATGTGTATGACAAAATGAAAAATTAAGTAAAACTGCACAAAACAACGTATCAGTATGTTAAAATTATTTACCTTTAACAGGTGCAGCAAAAGTTGCAATAGATATATCTAAAAATTCTTTATTGCTTAGAGATTATAGAAAACATAATCTAAATTATACTTAATTGGTTAAAAAATTTAAAAAAGCAAAACCCAAATAGTAGCTGACAAGATTTTTTGTACAATAATTAGCTTAACTATTTTTAAAATTGTTTCTGCAAAATTTTACTGAATATTTTATTTTTCAACCACTTTTGCTTCTCTACTGACCCAGTTAAAACGTTTTACTGCAAATCTATTGAGAAGAGTGTGTCGCCCAAGTATCTCAGCGGTGTTGTCCTTCTGCGCGTTGTGTAATTTTTGTTGATTTTACAGTTTTTTCACACTTTACCTATAATATGAAATGTAAACAATGAAATTTAGTTAACAAAAAAGCATTGATTGAAGTAAAAAGTCTTAATTTTGTAAAAAGCTGCACTTACTAATTACATACATACATATACGGAGAAAACCTTCAAGCCGTCTTACTATTGTACATACATACAAGTATGTGTGTAATAGATTGGACCAGCTTATGTGCTTATGCCCTGCAATTCATTTATTTACACACTTATATCCTTCCATTTTGCTAAGTCATCAAATATGGCTCGCTGTGTATTACTTCGACTTACTGTCATGCTTTTGGTTTTATTTACATACTTTTTTTTTTTAATTTTTGCACAAATATTTCTGTTACCAATTACAAGTTTGGTTTATACGTGTATTTGAGCAGTTATTTATTTTATGTCGTTATATTTATTTTTGAATTTTTTTCTAAACGTACGTAAAAACAGAAGAATGTAGTATAGGGACTTCTTTTTTCATATATAGCCCTTGGAAACCCAAAACCACATTCAAAACTTTATATTACAATATTTACAATTCGATTACAATAAGCCTAACCAATTTTATTAAAGGGCACACTTAATGTGAAATTAAACAAAAATCGAAACGTTTCTATACTTCGATAAGTTATACCATTAAAATTATTATAAAAGCATACTAAAATTTTAAATTAAAATTTTTTTTTTCAAATAGTTTTTGAGTTCCAGGCTTCTATTGTCAGATCTATCAGTTTCTTCTTAAACACATTTTTCTCAAAACTACATTTTTCAAACTTGCCTGAGTGATTACTTGGAGACAAATGGTTCGATATAATATAATACAATGAACTACCAGTTTTTTGATCTGGTCAAGAATAGAATTTAGGCAGGACAAAAACGACCAACAATTTTGGATAAAATTCAAATAAAATACATTTTTAACGGCGCTATTTTGTCAATTTGGATTCTTTTCGACCATAAATCATTGTACGGACAATGTCTTCTAGCAGAGAATTATTTTTTGGAAAGCCGGAATGACAACAGCAGAGGAGAGCCCCTTTTCAGCGTCGTCGGAGATCGTTTGTAACTCGAAAAATATTCAGTTTTTTTCTACAAAAAATTTACTTTGCATTTTTCAAATATGTATAAATACACCCTTAACCACACTTTCAAACACTCTTTCATTATTTAAATCACGATTCGTTAAAAATTGCCAAACTTAATTGAATTCAATTTCTTTTTGACTATGAGAATATGCCTTTGTTTACTTTCGGATGAACTTGATTCACTTTTTAATCAACCTTTTGGAAAAGCTTTACTTCAACTGCTCGTAAAGGTGAATTTAAAATAAATCGAGCGAAAGATACCTCAGCTGAGAGATGTACAGTTCAAAAATTAGTTTGTTTAGACATAACCTAATAAGGATTAGTAGTAGTTAGTTAAAAATGTCAAATGATCCTGAAAAAATGTGCGATGCGAACTATTTGAAGATTGCATTGAAAAATTGACCAAATATTTTTTTTTTTAATTCGAATTATTTAGTATTGGCCAGAGATGTGCTTGATTGTACAACATTTACTTATAACCTGCAAATATAAGCCAAAAATAAATATAAATGTAAGTGTGCAGTAGTATTTTTGATGAGTGGAATCAGTAGAATATTATTGTATTTTGATTGCCTCCTCGAAAGGAAGTTTCATTATTTAAAAGTAGAAAAATCATGTATTATTCGGCTTCAGAATACCATTACTATGATATGCGGGTTATTGTAAAATGAATAAATGAACTTGTCTTTGATCTGCTTAGGTCCTTACTAGCATTTGTCTACGACTGTTATGTTAATTTTACAATGTACATCTTCGATAAAAACGAATTATATGATTTGTACTCAAGCATATATGTGGTATGCTAGCAATTGTGCTGAATTGGTGTAAAAAGTGTGTGAATTGATAGAACGTTTCTACGAGAAGGTTTGCTGAGGCATTAAAAACTTGTAAAAACACTATTTTGAGAATTTTAATTGAATATTTGGGTAAAAGAAAGACCTGTGCGTGTTTTGTCAGCCGTCACTGAGCTGCTGAAGAACATTCCTTTGAATGACATAAAATCTATGCATGCGCTGCTGGATTGTTCCAAATGTTGTATTGAAACTAATGGAAACTACTTGTATTTTGAATACATAAACGCTTTCAAAGAAAATACAATGTACATTTTATTCAATATCCAAAAGGCTCGGTTATTTTTACGACGCACTTGTAGGTTCGGTATATGCTTTCGTCGTATATGAGACTTTGTTCTGAGTTAAGGACATTCATTTTTTTCAACATTACTCGCAATGAAAACGTTTTTTTAAACCGTGGTTTCTTTAACCATTTTATTATATATAATACATATGAGGGACATGTTCGTTTATGTACAAACAGATGGCTCACCATGCTCATCATTTATACATATATATATATATATTTTTTTTTTATAGTGTCTCCGACGTTTCCTACTGGGTGTTAAAAACTTTGTGGCAAACTTAGTATACCCTGTTCAGAGTATTAAGAGTAATTTAAATATTCCACTTATCGCGCTTAGTCATTAAACCACGACAGAAAGACTTTAAATATCTTTAAAATGAACATATGACTGTATAGCATAATTTCAATTAAAATGCACACATACATATTCATATATGAATAAACATAAACATTAATATTAAATTAAAAAAATCTTAATATGTTTTTGCTTTTTGCATAATAGTTTACTGCGCTGAGTATACAATTTAAAATTTAGTCATATAGTTTAGTATATACATATGTATTATTACTAATCAAAGAAAAACGACAAGCCAATGCCAGGGACTTGCCAATTACGGAAAGGTGTTAAATAATTCGACTATAAAACTGAGTAAATATAAATAAATGTGTTAATATGCGTATGTGTAAGTATGTGCCATAAATATGGTTTATTTTATGTATAAACTTGCTAGGAGTTTATATGGCATGTGCAATGCATGGTTGAATGTGCGTGTTACTCATATGTATAAAAATATATTATATAATATATTTGTGGAGGCGCACTTCTTTTAAATTGATTTTGCCGGAAATATAACAAGCGTCCAATTGAGAATAAACATATACATACTTGGGACATATAAAAAAAGGAAGGGGAAGCAAAGTATATGAGTATAAGTTATGTATATTTGTTTAGTAACTAAAATTAGTGTAACTATAATAGTCGATTATGAAGGTCTAAGTAAAAGCGTTAGATTGCAAGTGCTTAGAAGCACGCTAAATTTGGTAATAATTAGATTCTAAGTATAATAACACAGAATACAGGAAATCAGAGAATTTAATACAACCAAAATGCGATTAAGAAGTCTGAGGAGAACTGTAACATAACCTCAAACTGAACACGTTTAAAAAATGTATATACTTGTATATTTTACGTTAGTCATTTGAATAACCCTGCAGGCTTCAATGTTGCTATTGTTGTAGTGGTATATAAATAAATTTCGAAAAATGTTCCCGAGTTGAGAGTCTTTGGCTGGAGTAAAATCTGGGTACGTTCCTGTTAAGTAAGCCCGAGTACAAATGAATGCAAACCTCAATTTGTTGAACTTGTTGTGTCTCTTGTGTGTTATAAATTGTATTATTAAATTTTCTCGGACCGAATTGCAACCCATCCTGAACGCACATGATTTTCGGTAGATATTATACTATATTGAGTTACTTTTTGTGTTTCTATATATATTTGAGACTTTTTTTTTATCAAAGCGCCGAAATGTAGGCAACAATTGCTAAGTAATGCATTACTAAAACTCAAGAAAAGTTCCAAAATTAATCAATTAAATTTTACCGGATTTTGTTTTTGTGCTGCCACCTAAAAATATTTAGGGGAGTTCAAATTTCCTTTTATAGTCCTTTTTTCTGTCTAAGGACATACATATTTTTTTTTATTATATAAAAAATATATATTTAATTTATAAAAATTAAAATTGTTAAAAAATACAAATAAAAATTTTAAATTTAACTTACTTTTTTATTGATCATCAAATGTATTAAATAAAAAAAATTTTTCTAGCTAAAAAATAAACTTACTAGTTTATATTTTGTTTAATAACATTGTGAATCAGAAATATTTTTATCGAAAGTGGAACATTTGTGAAGTCCACAACTACATATACTTAATGTTTATATGTAAATTTTAATTCAATACCTTATGCATATATTTACATTAGCAATGCTGAATATATATGCACATATAAAGCCATTCACAGAGATAATAATGAGCTGGAAAAAACATGCTGACCATCAGCATCCGTTCCGTTCGTGCGTCCATGCAACACACTTGACCATGAAGCATCACTTAGCTTGCACCAGTTGCTGCTTTACAACTCACGGCTGTTCATTTTTACTTTTCATTTTTTTCGTCCGACTTAAATCATTTTAATTATTTTTTGTGCACTTGAGTTTGAATGCTTGTTTATTGCCTTTAATTCGCTTGTGCCGAACACAAATGTGTGTCCGTAGTTCGAAAGAATTTCTGAAACCTACAAACACACCCATGTGGGTAAA